CACTGAGGGTTCTGTGGGGCTGGGAAACTAGATGAAGGCACGATATTTGTGTCTGTCCTGGTGCTTCCAGGACAGATTACCGCCAGCAGACATCTAATTCCTTGCTGCTTTGGGCTCTAGGTGCCCCCACCCAGTGACGCTTGCGGGGATGCTGGAGATGGGGGTGTCCTACCTGCCAGTCAACGGGAACTGGAAGAGGTATCTGGACGATGCTCAGGGTGTCTATGAGGAGCTGCAGAAGGAGATGAAGAGATCCCTGATGAACCTGGCCAATGATGCCTGCCAGCTGCTGCACGAGGACAGGTACCCATGGGCTGGGGGGACAGGTCCTGCTGCTTGCAGGATGGAGACCAGACGCCAGGTGGTCCTGGGGGGCTGCAGGCAGGTGCTGGGGACGGGAGAAAAGCTGTGGTGTGATGGCAGTGCGTTGGCAGGTATAAGGATGACCCCTGGCTCTGGGATCTCGAGTGGGACATACAGGAGTTTAAGCAGAAGAAGAATCCAGGAAAGAAGAAGAAAAAGGATGGGGATGGGAACAGCAAAGCCCCTGCGGCCGTGGTGGGTGCAGATGGGTCCATACAGGAGTGTCAGGAAGGTGAGCACGGGTGGTCCCTGGGGACAAGGGTTGCCTGAGGGATGCATTTCCACAGGTCCCCAGATGAAGGGATGCGGTTTGTTGGTGCTGGCAGGGTGAGGCTTGGCTGGCCTGTGTCCCCATGCTGGGGTGCACGTCAGGGGGCTGGCTTCAGGTCCCCATCCCCAGTAGGGTGGCACAGAGCCACCTACTTTGCCAGCCAGTCCTCCTTGCCCCACCAGACCCTGGTCCCCCTGGCGAGGATGAGGAGCTGAAAGCCCCCGCAAGCCGGGTCTGCCTGGAGCGTCTGAAGGAAACGGTTGTGCTGCAACCCAAGCGACTCCAGCACTTGCCGGGCCACCCGGGGTGAGTTGGGGACCCTGGGTGTCCCCAGGGGTTGCCCTGTGCTCTCTGACCCATCCTCACTGCTCCCCAGCTGGTACCGCAAGCTGTGCCCGCGGCTGGACGAGGTGGGCTGGGTGCCAGGACCCAGCCTTATCAGCCTGCAGATGAGGGTGACGCCAAAGCTGATGCGCCTGGCCTGGGCCAGCTTCCCCCTCCATTACTCGGAGAAGCACGGCTGGGGCTACCTGGTGCCACGGCGGCAGGACAATTTGCCGGCAGCCCCCCCGGGGGGGGGGGGGCCCCTCTTTTCGTAGCAGGGTGCTGCCCCATGGTGGAGTTTGGGAGCTCCCTGCGACCCTGCCGAGGTGTGAGCCCTGCCCTTTTCCCTTGCCAGGGTGATCGAGTACCTGTACAGGCAGCACTGCCTGGAGAAAGGCAAAGAGCAGCCCCTGGGGCTGGGGGCTGGCCGGGGGGGGGGGCTGTTGGGGGTTGGTG